CAACCACATAACAAGCACAACCTGCTCGGATTTTGGCCTCACCTCCTGTTTGCGGCGTTGGTGGTGCTAATGCGAGCTTTCTGACTCTGACGGGGACAGGGCCTTGGTGGGGCTGTGTTGAGACGGATGGGTGTACTCTCTGTGCCTGAGAAATCACACTGATTTTTTTTTAAATACAGTGACGCCCCACAGAGTTCTGCAATGGATATGAAAGAACAAAACTTGAGAGGAAGAGGTTCTAGAGAGGTGAAGCTCAGGCCCTGAAGGTGGATAGGAAACAGCAACTCTGGAAAAAAGAGAACACGGAGACCACCGGGCAAGGCAATGAGCTGATCCTGGGCCGCCAGCGTCTGTCTGGGTCCCTGGCTATGGGCGGCACGAGAGCCACCAGGCAGAGGGCACCCAGAGGAAAATTCCCAGCTCCGGTCACCTTATGGAGAGCAGCATTCTTGATTGTGTGGCTGGGAGGCTTCCAAAGAGAAATGGAAAAAGAAAAGAGTGCTTTTCTTGGGTCTGGATGGTGGCACGTGTGACGGCAGCTGGGTGGAGGGAAGTGACCTAGATAACCCAGGTCTGAATTCCTAAGCATCAAAAATCCCCGAGCAGATTCAGCCCACTGGCACTGCAGCTTGCTCCACAGAAAATGCATTCCTATTTATGATGCTGACACAGTCAACTTATAAAGATGGATTGAGAAAAAAAAAACCCCGTAAAGCTGTGTGCCTCAGATTTTAGAAAAAAATGGAGCTCTGATTCACAACTGTTAGCTTAATGGCAACCAATTCATTTTCTTTGATGGCGCTCGCTCTGAAATTGTGGATGCTGGAAGGAAAAATAAAGCCCATGGCTTTCACTCACTCATTCAACAACCATTACGTGAGCATCTGCTGTGTGCCAGCACCGTACCAGCTGCTGACACGTGGTGACAGAGAAGACAACTCTTGTCTTCATGGAACTCTTGATATAACTTGTGAGCTAGCACAAGCTAGCACGATCTAGAATCCACAGACCAGAACTCCGCTGACAGTGGGCTGGGGTGCGGGATGCCCAGGAAGGCCCCCTGGAGAGGTCGTGTTTGAGCTGCCCTCTAAGGAGGAATGGCTGGATGCTCCCCAGGGGAGTGGCACAGAGGTGGGGAGGACCGGGGCGTGGAGAAGGCAGAGGGCCATGCTAAGGGGCTGGGCTTCCTCCCAGGCAGCAAGGGGTTTTAAGGGGTTTTAAGCAGAAAGTGACATGGTTAGATTTTATTTTAGAAGGAAACTCTTGGGGTGGGGAAGGGGGTGTTAATTATTTACAGTGTACTGAGTAGACATTTATTTGGAGATAGTTTGCCTTCTGAATTGGTTGTTATTTTCAGTCCCTGGTTAGCAACACTCAACTGAAAACAGCCTAGGAAACTCACGTCTCTCCCTTTCGGTGGATTCCCACTGCAGTCTGGATTCTGGAGGTTGAAGGATGGTGGGATTGGGGTCACAAGGGAGTCAGTCCCACAGCGCGTCCTTTTTCTAAGATTTTATTGCAGGCTCTCAATTATGCCTGCAATTATGAGTTTTCCTTTGAGGTCTAACTGCAGGAAGAATTCTACCTGTAACGCAGGGTGGCGATCTGGGAAGCCATCCTTGACAAGTGTGCTGTACTGAGTGGTCTGTGCCCTCTTTCTCCCACACCCATTAAGTAACCCGAAGACTCCAGGGCAGGTGGGGTGGCTCTGGGTGTGATGAGCTGAATTGAGACTTCCATTTCACCCCAGTAACCTTTGCCTCTAGGGCAGGGTTCCTAGTCTTGGCACTACTGACATTTAGGGCCAGATAGCTCTTTGTTGTGGGGGCTGTTTGGTGCATTCTAGCAGGGGTCCCCCACCTCCAGGCCGTGGATGGGTACCAGTCTGGGCCTGTTAGGAACTGGGCTGCACAGCAGGAGGTGAGCTTGACTGTAATGCGCTTGAATTAAGCGCATCCTGAAACCACTCCCCTGCCCTGGACAATGGGAAAATTGTCCTCCACAAAACCAGTCCCTGGTGCCCAAAAGGTTGGGGACCACTGCATCATAGGATGTTTAGCAGTATCTCTGGCTCCTACACACTACTTGCCAGTAGCACTCCCAAGTTGTGACAACCACAAATTTCTCCAGACATCATAAGCATCCTTGTGGGGCAAGACTGCCCCCATCTGAGACCGTTTGTCTCAGGACAGTTTTCCATTGTCATCCTACTGGATCTCACGACAGCAAGAGTGTGATCGCTCTTCCTCTTGACACTTGCCTTCCTTGTACACTCTCCTTGTTTTTCTCCTAATTCTCTGGCTGATTCTTGGAAGACTCCTGGGGTTTCCCCATCCTCTTCCTGCTCCCCAAATGCTGCCATTCCTCAGTGCTTGCACCTGAGCCCCTTTACCGTTATACTTTACACTGTCTCCCTCTCACTCATACCCAGGATTTCAAATACCTTCTGTTAGTGAAACACTCCTGAGTTTGTCTCCAGCCCAGCTCTCTTGTCTAAGCTTCAGGAGCTTTTCTGTTCGTCCTAGATGTCTCACTGGCATCACAGGGTCCATCCGTCTTTCTCCAAAATCATTTCTCTTCTCATCCCCACCTACCGGCTGTCTAAGCCATAAGCCTTAAGGTTACCCTGACTCTCCTTTTTCCCTCATATTCACATCCAGTCCAGACCTAATCCCTGTCAATTCTGCCTTCAAAATGTACCTTACAACCATCTGCTCCTAGCCCTCCGGTCCGAGCCGCCACAGAATCTAAATAACCAATAACGCAGACCGTGCCAATGACCTCGGGGGTTTCCTGGCTTCTACTCTGCTCCCTTCCAGGCCACACTCCATCCAGAGCAATCTTCCAAAAGGATGAATCAAACCATATCATTTGATTTCTTAAAAGGCATTCGCTTGCTCTTGAATGGAATAAAATCTACGTGTCTTTACGCAGGCCTGCCCCCCCCAGTCCAGCCTCCCAGGTGCCGTTCTTCCTTGTTTCACTGTCGCCCTAGCCTTCTCTTGCTGCCTCATTTGCGCCACCTCGGGGCTCCCACGCATGCTGCTACCTCCGCTTGGAGCTCAGCGCCCCAGCACTCTCCATCCTGTAGGGGCTCAGCACATCATTTCCTCCAGAACATCTTTCCCAATCTCCTCCTTCCAAATTCAGTTTCCCTTTGCGTACGCATGTGATTATTTTTTTATTGTATGTCTCTGTTGCTGGATGTGGGGGGGGGGTGTCCTGAGGAAAGGGACCCTCAGTGTCCCTTCTGCCCAATGCCATGTCCCCATCTTAGCACTGTATGTCACACTCAGTGAGTACCCAGTGAAAAACTATTGGATGAATGACTATTCACCCCTCATTTCCTTGGTCAAACTGCATCCAGAAAAGAATAATACTATGACCCAGAGAAAGGACTGGCTACGAAGCCGGAAGACGAAGTGGAGTGTCTGTATCGATGCAAACAAGCTTCCCAGTGGGGGTCCCTGGGAGCACGAAGCACAGGGAAATGAGTCAGGCGCCACTGATCAGAAAGGAGCTTGTTGACTTCCTCGTTAGTATTCCATATTTGTCCTAAGACTTTCCATGGAATCAGAAGGGAGCTCCCTGAGTAACAGCAGGACCACCCCAAGGCGATCTAAGAAGAGCTGAAACTAGTTCAGGGTTTTCTGGTGACGGTGCTTTTCTGGAAGGCGTGAGCTCCCAAAGAGGCCAGATGTCCCGGAAGGACAGCTTCACCCAATACATCGCACAATGCTCTGCACATCACTGAAGGCCCGTGCGTATTGCTGGACTTGACACAAAACCACAGAAACGTCTCCTCTGTACAGGGAGACAGAGGAGGCCGGGCTTCTCCTCTGCAGCAGGCCCATGTTACACAGAGAGCATTTCACTTTGTTTTTCTGAAAATTCACAAGTGCAGCTGGCTGCTGAGTGTAGTTTAAACTGATGACGTTAAAAAGCTCAGCCTTTAAGTAGAACCGAGAGCAATTCACATCAGCCGCTCCTGGTCTTGGAAGGGACGGCAGCTGTAGCACACACGCCTGCAATTGTGCAGCTTGGTATTTGCTAAGCTCAGGTTAGACCTTTATACCCAAATTAATCTGGAACTGTGGAGGCAGAAAAACGTGAACCCCATTGGCAGCCCAGTTTGTGCAAAGGTGGAATTTATTTTTAATGGGCTTATCTATTGTGTCTGAAATCAGCCTTCAGGAACCCAAGAGAAGAGTTTCAAGGTCCACGTGTTTCAGCTCAAGGACGAGTCTGGGGCCCAGAGTCCAAACATACTGCGATCGGCTGCATGTTGCTAAACAACTAAAACAGCCCTGCATCTGTTATTTACAAGGGGATTGCCCAAGTTCCCTCAGCCCCCATCCACAAAATACTAACGGCATATAAATGACGACTTGCAGCAACCGAAACATAAGAAGGTTGGACCGTGGCACACAGTGGTAGGGTAGAAGCTGTAGAGAAAGATATTCTCTTGAATTTATTCTCAGTCAAGACAAAACAAGGACAAACCCTACGAAAGCGCCTCCTGCTTTGAGAGAAAGGTCCTGGGCCGAGAGAAGCAAGTTTCAATACTCACTCAGAGGAGACTGAGCATTTTCTGGGCATTAGATTCCAAAGATACAAATCAAACAGTCCCTGCCCTCACAGAGGGTGAGCAGGCTGTGCAGAGGCCTGGAAAAACAGGAAGCCAGAGGTAACTGCTGCTCTTCAAGGGATGCCAGTATGTTGGAGGGTTCAGCCTTGTGGACATTCTGCTGCCCAGCACGATGGCAGAAGTGGGGACACAGGAAGACTACAGTGAAATTGAGCAACATCCAGGGCCCATGATGGGCCCTGAGGAATCGGGACTTCATTTTGGGACCGCAGTTAAGAATCTAGCGAGATGCAAAACTAAAGTGAATCAACACAAAGACAGATAGAAGGAAGTCTCCCAGGTTAGGAAGGACTTAATAATATTTGTTGAATGAATGAGTCTCTTCCACATGTCATCCCCTCTATGGCCTTACCTCAGATTCTTTGTAGTAACGTTCTGGAATTTCATCACAGGCGATGTCAATAAAGCAAACTTCTCTCTCCAGGTCTTTGGCTTCATTGTCAAAAATCTGAAAGAGTAGAGCAACACATCAAACGTTAGGGAGACCAGGTGACATCCTCAAGGTGCCCGCGGGTGGAATAACACCCTGCAGAGCATTTTCACGTGGCTCCAGGCCCGGCTGGCGCCTTCCGCCCGCCTCCCGGTGTGCAGGGAGCGTGAAAGGTTTTCATTCATTCACTGCCTGTGCTGTGCCGCATCGCAGGCAGGTGTGGCAACAATCACCGTCTGGTGGAAGGAAAGGAGGTTGTTTTTAGAAGTTCAAGAGTGAAGAAATAAATCTCTCCCAAAATGATGTCTGATGGTTTTTGGCAGTTAATCTGAACAGGAGCAGTGAGGAGGCCAAAAAGGGTCTGGCTAGAGGTGAGAGACAAAGCTGTAATGCAGCCTGAGATTTGGAGAATTCAAAAATGTGGGTCTTTATATCTATTTAATGTCACAAATAATACATGCTCACTGCAGAAGCTACAAATACACAGAAGAAAATAAAGATTGTCCCCAATCCCATGACCCAGGGATACACATGGTATTATTCCTGCTCATTAAGAGCGTGGTTTCCTTGGAACACACAGGGGTAAGACAGTTTTGAAAAGATACTGAGATGGCTCCCCGCCAGTCTATGCTGGGGTTCACGGCCCACAGTGTCCATCACTTGCAAAGAAGCACGTGAGACAGCCACATAGACAGATATAAATTTTGGTGGAAAGATTGCCTTCTCCCAACTTTTTCTGGACCGAAGGGGTGATCTTCCCAGCCCTTCAGAAGGATGGTGAACAGATTAAGTTTCCAAAACCACTTCGTCCTCTCAGGAAGTTTTAACGAAACCTCCACTTCGCTGCTGAGCTAATTCCAGCAGGGGAGTCATCCGTCAACACTAATTAAAGCTGACTCTTCAGAAGGGAATGAAATATTTTGGAAGAACAGGGTGGTTGATGCCTAAGAACATTGTCTTGACACAAATTTGGTGCCTATTAATAACATGATCTCCCAGGAGAGCCACCACAGGCCTCTTTGTATGCTATACTCTTCCTGTTTTGATTCTCAAGGTGAAACTATTATTCTTTTCCAAATGCTTTCTGAATAATATTGGTGCTGGTAATTATCCTCCAAGTCTGGTGTTTGCTCTGTCGCTTATTTTCATCCAGGAGACCTGGCCTCTTTCCAATTTGTCCAAGGAGATGAACTCCACGGTTGGACCCAAGGGGCCACTGCATCTTCCTTGAAGGCAGAGAAAGGCTGGTTCCTGGATCAGCTGATTCCTTCCACTGCCACTTGAGGGCCAGTGCTTTGGGACACTCCCATAGTGTTTGAGAGGGACAGGTGGACTGCTTTGAAATGAAAGAGAGAGACGGTAGGGAAACAGGCTCGAGTTTGAGTGGAGAAATAAGTTCTGAAATGAAATACTGGGTCTCAGAACGTCTGTGTGTTTTCTCCCACTCATTGAAGTGTGTGCCAAGAGAAGAAAGACTTGTGCCTCAGAAGGAAAACAAAACAACACAGAATACCCCAGAGGGATATGAGCTTCTGGAGAGTAAATTACAAAAGAAGCTAGAGAGGTCTGACATTTATTGGTGGTAAAATGTAAGGGACCAAAAGAAGGGGAAGTGGGGTTAAGGGAGTTATTGATGGATTATATGGCTTTTCTACTTTAATTCAAACATTTTTGATCACCCATTACACCAGTTATCACACTGCTGCCTCCCAGCTCCACGTTCACCCCCTGGCCTCTGCTTTGAGATGATGGATTGGACCCTGTAAGCACTTCTCCTTTATAGCAAGTATACCCTTAAGCCATGTACCAGGGGGCCCCTTCAGGAAGAAGGGGGCTTCTCTTGCTGGTGTGGATCTTGCTCCTGCTGCAGAATCTGTCCATGGGGACATTCAGTGGTGCTGTCCCAGCTGTGTGTCTGGAGTGTCTTGTTGCTTGGTGACCTTGCAGCCCTGGCCTTCCCCGTGGCCCTCTGGATGCAGCACCATGCACTCCAGGCCTTGCATTGGTTGCAGTGCTCCGACCCCACACACCTGCCATCAGTCTTATCTGACCTGCATCCGGAGGGCTGTTCTCGGCTGCCCAGCAGCTGTGGGCCAGCACTGGTCCAGACAACCCTGCACACTTCCCCACCATTCTGTGGGCCATGACCGTGACTTCTCCAACAGAGTCTGAGTCCCAGCCATGGAGAGGGGCCCCTTCTAAGTTTGTTCTTCCTTGGGTGATCTTCCCCAACAAAGAAGCTCTGTTTCAGGGCAAGTCTCCAGCCTTCATTAGCGGGTTCCTCCCATGGTAGAAAGCTGCCTCTTGGTCCCCAACCGAGAAGATACCTATCAGTCAAGAGTGCTTCCTGCTTCTTTCCAGAAGGATGAAACTGGAATCTGGTTCTCCCACTGCTACTTATAAGATGTATGTCCCCAAAGACTTGGAGCTTTTCTTGTCTTTGTCGAGTAGCTGAGGCTGCAGTAGGTACCCTTTAGTTCAAACTCTGGTCTCCTTCATTAACATGATATTTAACCCTTGTATTAAAGCCGGTGAAATACCAAGCGCCTTTGCAGTGAACATTTTGGAGTGGGGTTCCCACCACTTGAACAAAGTCACAAAAAATCACTTTGAGAACATCAACAGCTTCCTTTAAGCTTTAGATCACAGAGTCATAATTTCCAATAAATAAATAATCTCCCAATGATTAGAGATTTTAGGAGATGCCCTTAGGTTCTCAACAAGTGCCTTCTGAATTAATGGAAGGCAGTAGATTCTGCTTTCCAAAGAGAAGTGTATGGCAGGAATATTGCTTCCTAAATGATTTTAGTTTCCTTTCACGAGCCCTAGTTCTAGTTCCCTGGTGGTAAGTACCCTGACGTTCCACAATTCCCACACAGGGCTCAGTGTCGAGTGGAGCCCTCCTGGCCTTGGCTGACAGGCCCTACACTGGGAACCAGGAGATCTGAGTGTGAACTCAGTTACCTCCTCTGCGTGACCTTGGGCAAGGACCTGCACCCCCCCCCCCCGGCCCCCCGGCCTCCGTATCCTCCTCTGCAAACTAAGAGGCTTAGTGTTGACAGCTGGGGTCAGAAAGTTGTGAAACGCCCTGCAATTGTACCCCTTTGGGGAAGAATTTGGGACTGTGCACTTTTCTGGAGAGACTGACTGTTTTCATCTGATTATCAAAGAGATCTGTGGTCCCAGTGAGGTTGAGATCAATGCCCCAGATCACCACGAACATTGTTCCTGGTTAAAATGTCTGTGATGTGGAGTGACCTTGGGGTCATGTCAGTGTCCCAGGGCTCGCTCTCTGGCTCAGTTCTTTTCTGCCCCTTCACTCCACAGCCAGCCAACTTGGGTGGCTCACAGAGGAAGTGGGGGTGGCCACGATGGAGTGTCATCAGAGGCCACAGCCAGGGTGAAACAGTCTAATCTTCACTCTCAGTTTAGGGCGCAATCCAGAATGAAGCCAACACTGTTACAGACAGACAGAGGCTTAGCCAGGCCCCCAGGGAAAACAGCACGAATAAGTATTCAATTGTGCTTCCCTTGGGGTAGTGACAGCAGCTGTCAGAACTCCGGTCCAACCACCACCTCTGCTGAGATAGCTTTAGGAGAAGATGCATCTCTGACAGGATCACACCTAACACAGGTGTTACGCACCCTCAGGCCTTGGGCAGAATTTGTTTCTTTCTGGGATGGCAGCTGGGTTTCGGAGTTATTGTACAATAACTGTTGTGCCTTCCCTGTATCCCCTAACGTTCCCATCTTTGGTTATTTATCAGGGACATGCCCACCTACGAATCATCTGCAGTGGATTTCAGAGCCAATCTGGTTGACTCTCCTATTCCTCTCCCCACTAGGCAATGAACACACCATACACAAAGTCCTGAGCAATACTACATCGCATATGACCTGAGCAGTACTACAGTGAGAAGGCAAGTGTCCCAAATAAATACTGTTTAAATATATATATAAAAAAGTATTAATTTTTAGAGAGAGGGGAAGGAGAGATGGAGAGAAACATCAATGTGTAGCTGCCTTTCATGCGCCACCTACTGGGGACCTGGCCTGCAACCCAGGCATGTGCCCTGACTGGGAATTGAACCAACGACCCTTTGGTTCGCAGCCCGTGCTCAATCCACTGAGTCACACCAGCCAGGGCTAACTACTGTCTTATAGATTCCAAAATATAAAGAAAATAAGTTACCCTTTTGGGGGGGTCAACCATTATGACCATTAAGTATCAAACACCTTTAAAATCTTCATATATTTTGACCTAGTAAGCTTAAGTTTTGAAAATTTATCTTTAGAATATTAAGTAAAGGGAAAGCCTTATGCAGAAAGATATTCACTGAGACATTATTGTAATGGCAAGAAAAAAAAATACAGAGAAAGAAAGCAAACAGCTTAAATATCCCAGTATGGGAGAATGGCCAAGGAAATGATGGTAAATCCATTTGATGAACGATTATGTAGCCACTAATAACTCCATTCGTAAAACAGGTTTCCCCAGAGGGTATACACAGGGGTGGTGGGATGGAGAAAGGGAGGTGTTCCACATTTAATACAGGCAAATGCCGAGTCTTGCGGTCATAGGTCAGGAGGGAAAGGTGCATTGACAGATAGGGGCTTTGTTCTAACCATGCACTAAACTTATTCCCTGGACAGGAGTGTCTAGATTTTTGTAATCTCTCTTGTTTTGCTTCTAAATTTTGTGATCTCTCATTACAGCCCGTGGAGGGAGACCTCTGTGTCCTACAGCTTTTCAGAAACACACAATCCTGGGACTTGTGGATTCTGCAGCCCCTTCCTCTGTAATAGTAACTTCGGTGGTTTAAGGTCCAAGTTTAGATGGGAACGCTCTGTACTTTCTGCACAATCTTTCCGTAAACCTAAAACTGCTCTAAAAAAATAAAGGCTATTATTAAAAAAAATTGATGGGGAGAAAAAGATCCAAGCTTAGTGCTGTGTGGATTTTACCTTCCTGCCATCTGCCCAGGTTACCAAGGATGCAAGGTAGGGATGGTCAATGA